ACTTCCATTTTTAATTTTATGGAACTTCCATTTTTATTTTTATTCAACTTTCATTTTTCTTCAATTTCCTTTTCTATTCAATTTCCTTTTTTTATTTAATTTCCAAATAGATCGTTAAGGTACTGTGGTTTCATGAATGAACTTCCATTTTTAATTTTAAGCAACTTCCATTTTTATTTTTATTCAACTTCCATTTTGATTCAATTTCCTTTTTTTATTTAATTTCCAAATAGATCGTTAAGGTACTGTGGTTTCATGAATGAACTTCCATTTTTAATTTTTTGCGACTTCCGTTTTTATTTTTATTCAATTTCCTTTTCTATTCAATTTCCTATTTTTATTTAATTTCAAAGTACATCGTTAACGCATTGTGGTTTCTTGAATGAACTTCCATTTTTAATTTTTTGCAACTTCCAATTTTATTTTTATTCAATTTCCCTTTCTGTTTAATTTCTTTTTTTTATTTCATTTCCAAATTGATCGTTAAGGTATAGTGGTTTCTTGAATGAACTTCCATTTTTAATTTTATGCAACTTCCATTTTTATTTTTATTCAACTTTCATTTTTATTCAATTTCCTTTTCTATTCAATTTCCTTTTTTTATTTAATTTCCAAATAGATTGTTAATGTATAGTGGTTTCTTGAATGAACTTCCATTTTTAATTTTATGCAACTTCCATTTTTATTTTTATTCAACTTCTATTTTTATTTAATCTCCTTTTTGATTTAATTTCCCTTTTTTGTTTCATTTCCATATAGATCGTTACGTTATAGTGGTTTCTTAAATGAACTTCAATGTTTAATTTTATGCAACTTCCATTTTTATTCAATTTCCTTTTTTTGTTTATTTTTCAAATAGATCGTTAAGATATAGTGGTTTCATGAATGAACTTCCATTTTTATTTTTATTCAACTTCCATTTTGATTCAATTTCCTTTTTTTATTTAATTTCCGGATAGATCGTAAGTGTATAGTGGTTTCTTGAATGAACTTCCATTTTTCATTTTATGCAACTTCCATTTTTATTTTTATTCAATTTCCATTTTTATTCAATTTCCTTTTCAATTCGATTTCCTTTTTTTATTTAATTTCCAAATAGATCGTAAGTGTATTGTGGTTTCTTGAATGAACTTCCATTTTTCATTTCATGCAACTTCCATTTTTATTTTTATTCAATTTCCATTTTTATTCAATTTCCTTTTCTATTCGATTTCCTTTTTTTATTTAATTTCCAAATAGATCGTAAGTGTATAGTGGTTTCTTGAATGAACTTCCATTTTTCATTTTATGCAACTTCCATTTTTATTTTTATTCAATTTCCATTTTTATTCAATTTCCTTTTCTATTCGATTTCCTTTTTTTATTTAATTTCCAAATAGATCGTAAGTGTATAGTGGTTTCTTGAATGAACTTCCATTTTTCATTTTATGCAACTTCCATTTTTATTTTTATTCAATTTCCATTTTTAATTCAATTTCCTTTTCTGTTTATTTTCTTTTTTTATTTCATTTCCAAATAGACCGTTAAGTTATAGTGGTTTCTTGAATGAACTTCCATTTTTAATTTTATGCAACTACCATTTTTATTTTTATTCAACTTTCATTTTTCTTCAATTTCCTTTTCTATTCAATTTCCTTTTTTTCTTTTATATCCAAATAGATTGTTAATGTATAGTGGTTTCTTGAAAGAACTTCCATTTTTAATTTTATGCAACTGCCATTTTTATTTTTATTCAACTTCTATTTTTATTCAATTTCCTTTTCGATTTAATTTTCCTTTTTTATTTCATTTCCAAATAGATCGTTAAGTTATAGTAGTTTCTTAAATGAACTTCAATGTTTAATTTTATGCAACTTCCATTTTTATTTTTATTCAATTTCCATTTTTACCCAATTTCCGTTTTTTATTTAATTTCCAAATAGACGTTAAAGTACAGTGGTTTCATGAATGAACTTCCAGTTTTAATTTTCTACAACTTTCATTTTTATTTTTATTCAACTTCCATTTTTATTCAATTTCCTTTTTTTTGTTTATTTTTCAAATAGATTGCTAAGGTATAGTGGTTTCATGAATGAAGTTCCATTTTTAATTTTATGCAACTTCCATTTTTATTTTTATTCAACTTCCATTTTGATTCAATTTCCTTTTTTTATTTAATTTCCGGATAGATTGTAAGTGTATAGTGGTTTCTTTAATGAACTTCCATTTTTCATTTTATGCAACTTCCATTTTTATTTTTATTCAATTTCCATTTTTATTCAATTTCTTTTCTATTCGATTTCCTTTTTTTATTTAATTTCCAAATAGATCGTAAGTGTATAGTGGTTTCTT